CCACATTCTTTGTTCCATGTGCCTTAGGTATAGAGGTTCTGCTGTAGACGTGTCACTTAGGGATGGGCATCTCTCAGACATATATTCTATGTGTGTGACCAGTTGTGGAACTCTGTAATAGTCTCCATCTGTTGCAAAAAGAAGCAACAGATGAACAGCGTACAGTATACTTGTCTGTAAACATAAGGATCCATATTTAGGATACAGTAAGAAATTTCATTTGTCTAGAGATAGGACAGAGATAGGGTTTTCTCTGGTATTTATGACCTCTCCAACCATATGTATTTAGCTATATTTACAGTACAAGCCACCCATGAGTTCCCTCACATTGAGAGGGCTTTAAGTCTAAAATTAGATAGCTGTTGATAACCCCCTAGATAAAAGTGCCACTACTGCACCAATAGAGATAATTTGCTCTGCCAGTTGTGGTTATTAGGCTTTACAGCTGGAGTGGACCATTGATTGCTTTCTCTCTCTCTGCAGCTTGCATAATATCCTCTAGAACTATGAGAGGTAGTCTTCAGAGAGAAGGCTTCCAGGTTAGTTCCAGCTCCATTGCTCCAAGTTCTGTGTCCCAGGTGTCCTGTCTTCAGCAATAGGATCTTACCTTCAAGTTTTGGGAAGTAATCAACGGCTCCGGCAATAGCCTCTGTTATTTTGGGAGCCTCTTGGACCACCCTGGCCAACAACTTGAAGGGAGGTTTCTCCTGTCTGGCACTGTGTTTGTTGTTATGTAACCTTCAGGTATAAACATGCACTCATGTTCAGATCCTGTATGTGTATTTTTTTCAGGGGATTTTTGAGTTAATAAACTTCCCTCTGGCTTTTTTATGCCACCTAAGCTTTATTTATCTCTCCTCTCTCTCTCTCTTTCCCTGTCTTACCTCCTTCTTCTCTCCCCAGTTTAAGTACCTCCATTTTCCTGTCTTTTGTCCCTCTCTTGAGTTCCTTCTTCTTTACCCCCATGGCTCCTTGTATGTCTTTCACTCCTCCCTTCCTACTTAAATACCCTATTTTCCCCTTGGTAACATCTGTTTCCTATTATCCCCCTCTCTCAGGCTCTTTCTTTCCCTTTACCTCCAGGCTTCCTTTCCATTTTCCTGGTTCCTGCTGTTATATCAGGATACATACTCACATTTAAGGAAATGGTGCTAAGATCCGCAAATGAGGGAGAACATATGTCACTTTTCTGAGTCTGTGTTCCTTCACATAGTATGACAGTTTCTAGCTCCATCTATTTGCCTACAAGTTAAATTATTTAATCTTTCTTCACTACTGAGTAGAACTCCATTGCATAATTGTACCACATTTCATTATCCATTTGTCAGTTGAGGAACATTTATGTTGTTCCCATTTTTTAGCTATTGTGAAAGAACAGCAGTGAACACAGGTGTATCTCTATAGTTATCTCTACAGGAGAATGAATCCTTTGGGCATCTGCCAAGAAATGGTATAACTGGATCATATGGGAGATTCATTTTTAGTTTTTTAAGAGTAATCCACACTGCTTTCCATAGAGTCTGCACAAGTTTGCATTCCCACCAGCAGTGGACGAGCGTTCTTCTTTCCCCACATCCTCCCCAGCATTTGGTATCTTTTGTTCTCTTGATCTCAACCAGTCTGACTGGGGATAAGATGAAATCTTAAAGTGGTTTTGATTTGCCTTTCTCTAATTACTAAGGATATTGAACACTTTTTAAAGTGTGCTTCTTCTTTTGAGAAACATCTGTATATTTCATTTCATCTGTTGATTGGTAATTTTTTTCCCTTGGTGCTTAATTTTTGCAATTCTTTGTAAATTTTGAATATTAGCCCCTCTGTGAAACGTAGCTGGTAAAGATTTTCTCCCATTCTATGAGCTGCTTACTCTGCACAAGTCTTAACAAATACAAAAAAATTAAAATAATGTTTTATTAGATCATAATGGAATAAAACTAGAAATCAATAGCAAGAGAAACTACACAAATATTTGAAGACTGACCAATACACTCATGAATAACTCTTGAATTTAAAAAAAAAAACCTCCCAGAATCAAAAGAAAATGAAAATACAGTTTACCAGAACCTCGGGATACAGCTGAGGCAGTTCTAAGAGGAAAATTTATAGTTACGCGAGCTTACATTAAGAAAATTAAAGGCCAGGAATGGTGGCGCATGCCTTTAATCCCAGCACTTAGGAGGCAGAGGCAGGCAGATCTCTGTGAGATCAAGGCCAACCTGATCTACGGGGTGAGTTCCAGGCTGCTGGCACTATAAGGAAACCCTGTCTCAAAAAGACCAAAACAAAAGTCAGGGAAATCTCAAATAAATAACCCTTTCAAAGACCAGAAAAACAAGAATAAGGTAAACCCAAAACCTGTATATGACAAGAAATAAAGATCAAGACAGAAATTAGTGAAATAGAGACTAATGAACAATATACAGAATTCATCCAAAATGAGATGAGAGGGGCCTTCCAAGGACAAACGATCATGAATTTAGGAATGTGATTAACAAACATCAGTACTTGAGGGCCAAAAAACAAAGTAAGTTGCATGTAAAGAAGAGGGAGGAAGTCCTTGCCTGACCGCTGTGAAGTTGGTGGGAATATGTTATTCCTATTCAACACGTCCTAAGCTCAAGGTCTGCATTTATCAACTAATTTATTCCAAAAGACTACAAACAGCTGTTGGACCTGCTGAATAGATGGCTGTTCGTGCTCTGGCTAAGAGGCAGCTATGTTCTCAAAGGAGCAGTTTCTATGATTTTTCTTAGGTCCTTGGGTTTCTTGGAGATTAAAAGGGGTGCTTGCAAGCTCCTGTAAATTTATAGTTAAAAATAAAAAATTCAAAAAAGTTATTCACTTTTAAAAAGACTATATTCAGCACTACATGATGGCCCACAACAGTAATCCCAACATTATTGGGATACTGAGGCGTGAGGATCCCTATTGTTCACAGCTAGCCTGAACTGCATATAAATGGCCCTGAAAAAAATCCACATAAATAAACACCTAATTTTTTTTTTCTTTTTGAAGCAGGGTATCCCTGTAGCCCCAGCTGTCCTGGAACTCACTATGTAGACCAGGCTGGCCTTGAAATCAAAGAGTAAAAAACATGCATTGGTAAAAAGGCAGCCTTTTGAACAAATGGTGGTGGGAAACTGGGTTGCACACAGAAGAGTAAGGTGAGATCCATTTCTCTCACACAAAAATTCATTCAACATGGATCAAAGACTAATTTAAAACCTGAAATACTGAAACTGCTATCAAAAGTAAGGGAAAGCTCTTTGAAATAAAGGCAAGAGTTTCCTAAAAAGTAATCCAATATTACAGGAAATAATGCCAGGAACTGACAAATGAAATTAAAAGCCTTCTGCACAGTGAAGGACTCTATCAGTAGAGTGAAAAGACAGCCTGCAGAATAGGAGAAAATCTTTGCTAGGCATACTTTAGACAGGGTTATTGTCTAGAATATATAAAGAACTACAGGGGCTAGAGAGATGGCTCACTGGTTAAGAAAACTGTTCTTGCAGAAGACCCAGGTTCAAATCACAGCTTCCATATGGCAGCTAACAACTGTCCATAACTCCAGTTCCAGGGGATCCCACAGCCTCTTCTGTCCTCCATGGGCATTGCATGACACGGGTGCACTTACCTACATGCAGGCCTAACATTCATACACATAAAATAAAAATAATAAACAAAATATTTTTAAAAAATAACTACAAAAATTAAAGCCCCCAAACCACATCTTCCAATTTGTAAATGAAACTGATAATTCTCAAAAGAAGAAACATAAATGGCCAATAAATATTTTTTTAATTGTTCAAAGGCTCGCAAGATGGCTCAGTGGGTAAAGACTCTAATAACCTGAGTTCCATTCCCTGGACCCACATGGTGAAAGAAAAGAACCAATTCCTGCAGGTTGTCCTCTGACCTCCGCTTATGAGTCATGAATGACGTGCACACAACCACGAACCCAAAAATAAAATGTGAGCATGAAACCTATTTCTTTATAATTTTAAAAGTAGAAAAAGTGAATTCAAAAGTAAAAGCACTGCGTTCAGAGGAGCCTCCAAACAAAGTTGGCAATGTTGGTGTTTCCCATCCTCCCCACAGTGTGCAAAAGCACCCAATGCCAGACTACACCCAGGCTGGGTCCCACCACTCCTTTTAACTTGTGCCAATCTGATAAACACAGTTGTATCTTTTCTTATTCATACTTCTTTGATTATCGTTGAGGGGGAACATTGTATCCTGCCACAGACACCACTGAGTTTCCTGGGTGGTGTCCATTTCTCTTGATCTGGTATTTTTTAAATTGCTGATTTAAAGTCTTTAACTACAGTTCTGTAATGAGCATATTAATGTGCTGTGGCTTATTTTCAATTTCTGCCCCACTCTCCTCCAAGATCTTTTAAACAGATCCAAAGAAGTCTCTCCTTTTTTAAAAAAGCTAAAATAATAGGCACTACTTCTGTTGCTGGCCAGGCCCTTGTTCCTTGAAAGAAACATTTCTGTCTAAAGAAAAAATAGTAATATTAAGTAAAGCACCTTGTTTTTTCAAATGTACTGAACAGGGCTTTATGCATACTAAGCATTTAGTACACCACTGAGCTATATACCTTTAGCCTTAAAACAGTACTTAGAACATCTGTGTCAACCCTTTTGCAAGAGAGTCTGCAAGATAGTGTCTTCATTTAAATACTCCCATCCACTCAGGAAAAACAGATAAGTCTTCCAGAGTCTATAGGGGCTTTGTAGGTTTATAACTTTAACAATTCTTCCGGGATTTATATGAGTTCCAGGTTGTCATTGCACTGTTGAACACTGAGCGCTCATGGGGGCGTGTGTAGGCAAAGATATGGCTTGACTTCTCTGGGTCTTCACTGGGCAGGAATACTTGCTGTCTTGTGATTGGTCTGGGCAGATTTGGGCTGTTCTTTGCCAAGTATCAAAAAACAGTGAGTGGAGGTCAACAAAGACCTCGGCCTTCAGACCAGTGATCTACAACACTAGTCATGACTACACAGTTAAAAGTCTCCTATCTTCTCCCACTTCTTCTAGCCAGTTATGTGCAGACAAACCCCAAGACAGAGAAGATGAAGGTGAGTAAGGTCTAGAGAGGACATGGCAGAGGTCAGCATGGTCACTCTTTTGCCCTTCTCCAAGATCCTGCCCTACAGCTCTTCTTAGAAGAGTCTCGCTTCTGTTTCCTTCTCTTTGTCGGCGCCCCTGAACATTTTTCTCATCTTGAATGATCATCACTTCCATAAACAGATGTTCCTTGGGTTAAATATGGGTAAAGAAGAAAGGATCTTCTTAGCATGGCCCTTTTTCTATTCCTTCCCCAAGCAGAGGCTCCCTAGGTGCCTCTTTAGCCACATCAGTCAGTGTCTGATCATTACCATGAGCATCAAGTGGGTGGGGAATGGAATTAGGAGGAGAGGCTGAGGTGCGTTATCTCAGATATTAATAATGATGAACCAAGTTGTTTCTTGCTGGAAAAAAAAAACCTAATGTGAAAGTTTCAGGGATAAAGTCAGACAGTTATCAGAGGAACACATGCGGGGAAAATAATCAGAATATTAGAGAACAACTGGATTTGGAGCCCTAGGTATCTAGGAATCTGGAATCTCAGTTATATTCTCTATTTGCAGATTTGATTCCTTATCAATACACTGTCCATGGAAGGACAGTAATGAATGAGAGACCTGAGAGGCAAAAAAGAATTAGGATGCTGGAGGCAAACATTCATTTAGTTCTGCGTTATAACTTCTGGGATAGAAAGCTATCCATTGCCAGTTTATAGGTTACGTTATCTAGCTTGGATGGGTGATCAACAATTACTATACATATGATGTGCTCTACAAAAGGCAGCTCTGGTAATATCTTCATCTTACTCCAAAATTAATGAGAAAACTTGAGGCATGACTTTCTAATTTCAGAACAGATACAGTTTTTGTGCTACCCAAGGTTACCTAATTGGATGTGGAGAATTGGAGCTTAATAAAAGCTGGCCTGGGGGCATGGAGAGATAGCATATAGGCTCAAATACATTTGAAAGAGCAGAGCAATCAACATCAGGAATAAACTGGAATAACTGGACATGGTGGCTCATGCCTGTAACCAACCACTCAAGAAGCTGACCTAACAGTATTACAATGAGTTTGAAGCCAGCCTGAGCTACATAGTGCTGTCTGGGTTAGCCTGGACTAGATAGAGACTCTGCCTCAACCCTCACCCCAAAAAAGGACTAAAATGAGTCTTCAAGTTCTGAGTTTCTCTAAAACATTGCACCCTGGTTCTCACTATGATTTTTACTGCACCCCCCCCCACATATACACAGCTAAAAAAATGGTATGGCTTGAAAGCAGGCATTAGAGAGATGGAATGAATGCTTTATACATGTTCTCTTTACATGCCTCTGTATTTTGTGTGTGTCGGGGGGGTAAATTTAGAGAAAGGCATAAAAACTTACATGGAGAAAATGCCTTTCCCCCAAGATAGGACTGACTAGCTACAACTTTATGTGAAATCGGTGATGTTACAGGGTTGGAAAAGTTGGGTTTTGTTGTGCAGTATCCCTTCTCCAGATGGGGACAGCTGGCATGGGGCTATAGTGTGGGCTGCAATCCTTTCCAGTTCACTACATTTCCAGGAAGTCTAGTTTAATCCTTGTCTCGGTCTGGATCTTTGTTATCTGATAAGGAAAGCCCTTTTTAATATTTTATTATATTTATTTTATGTGTATAAGTAAATTGCTTGCATGTATGTAGGTGTACCATGTCATGCAGGATGGTTGTTAGCTGCCATGGGGGTGCTGGGAATTGAACCTGGGGTCCTATGCTAGAGCACCCAGCTCTTACCTTTTTTTTTAACCCCTGAGCCATCTTCCCACCCCCCCCCCTTTTTTTTTTTTTTTTTTTTTTTTTTTTTTTTTTTTTTTTTCTGGCCAGTTCAGTTGTCTTTTTCTCAATAGATGATTTAGATAGGTATTTTTTTCATTTATTTTATACTCTTAGTATTCCATGAGCAATTTATAGCTGCCTTCCCAATGTAGGGAATGGGATCCAATTGTGCAGATGAGCATCAATTCACCTTTCATTCAGGGACCCAGGCAAGAGAGAGACCGAAAAAGAAGATGAGACCTACCTTATAGAGAAATTTAACATAAGGACATGCAATAAGACTTTCAGGTAGAACTTATTTCTGATATGTGGAAATATGCTCAAGTATCTTCAGGAGACATAACAGACCAGATGCTGCTAGCCTGTTTGTGTCTGTGATAGACTTCAGAGTTCTCTGTATTCTTTCTTGGAGCATACACATAGCTTGGGTTTCACAGTATTGGCATATAAGACCACCATGTGAGTAAGAGAGAAAATCATAGTAGGGTCTGGGAAGATGGCTCAGTGGTTAAGAGCACTGGCTGCTCTGGCAGAGGTCCCAGGTTCAATTCCCAGCATCCACATGGCAGCTAACAACCATCCATAACTCCAGCTCCAGGAGGTCTAATATTCTCTTCTGTACTCTATGGGCATTACATGCACATGGGGCTCTTTCATACATGCAGTCAAAACATTCATATACATAAAATAAAAATTAATTATCAATTAATTAAAAAAGAAAACCATGGTAGATTCTAGAATGATAAACCTAGAAGGTTTTTCATTTTACTTTTGCGGAGAAACTATCTGAGGACCAAGGATGAGAACTGCCCAGGGTCACAGAAGAACTGAATAGTAGATCTTATCCCAGGCTATCGCTCTTTCTGTTCTATCATGTTCATGACCAGAGTGAAAGGCAAGGAGGCCCAGGGACAAAAAAGCAACTAGGCCATCTTGAAACACTGCCCTTCTCTGAGATCAGCCAGATAGCATGCCTTCGATCCAGGGTCGAGGTATAGCCTCACTTTCACAAAAGCATAGAAGCCAGAGATCTTTTATCTTTGACCTCCTTTAACTTCTAGGTCCTTCCAATCAGGTTCATTCAAGCATCTCCTGGTACCCTACCCCTACCCCAACTAGATAAAAAGAAGAACAGACCTGTCACTCCCCTCCCCCGACCCAGCACAAGCATTATATTTTTTAGTTTTTTTATTATTTATGTGTATGAGTGTATTGTCAGCATGTAGCTAGGTGAACCCGTGTCATGCAATGCCCTCAGAGGTGGATGAGGATGCTGGATCCCCTGGAGCTGGAGTTACGGACAGTTGTTAACTGCCGTGTGGGTGCTATGATTGAAACCTGGATCTTCTGTAAGAGCATCCAATGTTCTTAACCACTGAGCCATCTCTCCAGTCCCAGGCATTGTATTTTAAATCAAGACCCAATCTTCAGTTTTCTCATCCCTTAAACAATTCCTATTTGTTTTCTAAGTCTAGATTAACAGCTGAGTTAATGAGTGCTTTGAAAGATCACACGGGTGTGTGGCATTGTCGTTGCTGATAGTATCACTTTCAAAACTCTTCCAGATGGATTGCTACAAAGATGTGAAAGGCACCATCTATGACTTTGAAGCTCTCCCTCTTAATGGGAAGGAGCGCATTCAGTTCAAGCTGTATGCAGGCAAACACATCCTCTTCGTCAATGTGGCTACCTATTGTGGTCTGACAGTTCAATATCGTGGTAAGAATCCAGAGCCATATAACTGGGACAAAATGTTCCAGACTATATTCTAAATTACATTTGGAATTGTATTCTAATAATTATAATCTAATTCTGATGTCTGAAATCAGCAAACCACAGCCTAAAGGTCAAGCTTGGCCAATTTATTTTTGAAAATAGCTCTGTTGGCCGGGCATGACAGCACCCATCTATCCCAGCACTTGGGAGGCAGAGGCAGGCAGAAGTCTTTGAGTTCAAGGCCAGCCTGGGCTACATAGTGAGTTCCAGGCCAGCTGGGACTACCGGGAGACCCTGTCTCAAAAAGATAAAAAAGGAGCACTCTTAGAAAGTAATTGTGTTCTTTCAAGGAAGGAAGGAAGGAAGAAAGAAAGAAAGAAAGAAAGAAAGAAAGAAAGAAAGAAAGAAAGAAAGAAAGAAAGAAAGAAAGAGCGAGCTCTTTTGGAGCACAGCTGTGCTTATCTATGACTACTTCACACCCTAACGCAAAGGTCAGTAGTTGTGTGAGTGCTAGCAATGGGCAGCATGTGATCTGAAAAGCTCTTTACAGAAGAAACAAAATTGTTGAATCTTTCCTTATGTAGGCCTGGAGTCTGCTTTGATTGAGAATCAATATGTATCCGGAAACTTGGTACTCTCAGAAGAGCCCACAAGTGTCCTTAGAAATACAGGGGAGATCTTTCCAGGGAAGGTTAGAGTCACCGTGAAAGGGGCACAGGGGCTTTATACCTAGAGCAGCATGTAGCCAGAGAGAAGCCTGGTGGAAGACCCTACTGCCTACTTTATGCATTTGAACTAGTAAGACTTCCTTGTGTATTATTATGATCCACTTTGCAGAACCAAAATATTCACAAGGCTTAAAATTCAAAAGGAACAAAAAAATTTAGAGTGAAAATTCCCTCCACCTCCTCTTCCTCTCAGAGAATATTATCATGTCTATAAAAGATAGGGTTTTTTTACAGCCTCCATTGATAACATACAAATACTATTTGATGTCTTCTAAATTAATAAAGTGCTTTTAAAGTCAGTCTTTTAAAAGATGGAATTATATTTATTGAACCATAAATTCATTTTTAAAGAGGAATTATTTATTTATTTTTCCTTTATTTTTAAAAATTATTTATTTAATAACCACACAATCAGACGAAGCATTTCATTACAACAGCATTGACATATTCGATAACAATTTCCAGAGATAAGATGCATCTCCTTCAAAACCGGCTGCAAATTTTTAGGTTTACAGTTGAATTAATACAGTCACAATATTTTTCTCAGTATAAACCCTATAAGACATAAAATTGAGGTTTTAATCTTTAAAAAAATTTCTATTTCATTATTAAAATACACAGTTTCATACAGAAAAATTCATTTTTAATGCAATTAACACTTAGATGTTTGCACATGCATTTCTAATCTCTATATATCTGATTATTACTAGTCACAGTCAGTTACTTTCTGAGTTCCTTGGCATCTGAGCATGGATATAAAGTCATCAGGTAGATTTCAGTGGTAATGTTTTTCACATCTGTTAATTATTAAGGAGCAAATTTTTATGCTTTGAAGAATTATTATTTTTTAAAAAAAATTTTTTAATTAATTTATTTTTACACCCACTTCCCAGATAGCACCCTCCCACAGCCTCCTTCCCCCCACTAGAGCCCTTATACTCTGATATCCCTGCTACTGTCTGCTGTGTTGTCGGCACCCCCGGCCATTCCGTACTATTTGCCCTTCATGGTGAATCTAGTCAGCCTATCTAGAGGTGTTTCAGGAAGGTCAGCTGTTCCTCTTCTAGCAGCAATCAGTTGTCAATATTCCTTTGGATAAGATTGGGGTCTGCTGTTCATTTTCGCAGTCCTATGCTGGGTTACTATCTGGGAGTCCCTTGGGCCACCCTGGCCAACAACTCAAAAGAAGGTATCTCCTATCTGGCATTGTTGCTTGTTATGTAGCCTTTAGCTATGCTTATGGACTCTTATGAAATTATATTGGCCCCTTTAATCTTTAGTTATACTTTTCTTTTGGGTGTTTAAGGCCATATAGTTGGCCCATATGAACCAATTTATTTTTACTCTTAAGGTCATTT